TGTCATTCCCAGGGTGCACTGTTCTCTGTAAACTTTGGAACATGGCTCCTAGTTTACAGAAAATATCCTGCTGACTCTTTCACACTATGTGGTCAGAACATCTTCTAGTCTGTCCACATCGTTTATTTTACCCAGTCAGCATTCCTTTCTGCTGTCAGTGAGGAATTGGCATTTCTCTTTCTGTCGGTAACTAAGCATGTCCATCTGCGTTCTGAAACACGCTCCACCTGCCTCCTTGCGGATCGTTATCCACCAATTACTTCTTGCTGTTCCTGTGTATGATCATGGTATTTACATCAGGAGAAACACACACTAACTTCCCTAAATGACTAATGCTGCTATCCTGACCAAGCTTTCTCCATCCTCTAATCCCCTTCAGTACCCTGAGGTTTCTTTTCTGCCCTGGCCGTCTGACCCTGACCACACCTACCTGGGTAGCTGCCACACTCATGCGCACTGTGGTAGGTGACCTGCTAGTCACAGGTCTCCTGGCTCTTTATGTCCACATAGCCACTCCATCCTGGTCATTTCCAATCTCCTCCTCTGGGACTCATTGCTCTGCTAATTTCGGCCTTCTCTTGAATACTTCAGCTTCCCAAGGAAATTTCAAGCTCACTCATGGCTCCAAACTCCATTTACACACAGAAAACTCTGTGACCCCTAGCTGAGCCACAGAGCCTCATGCTGACAAAAAGGCGTTTCCCACTCGGAGGCTTTCCCAGAGCCCCCGCCCCACGCCCGCCCCCAGCACCTCGAGCTGACTGTCATGGAGTCTCCGTGGATCTTGCGTTGGTAAACACCTTGAGCCAGGACGAGAAGTCCTTCTCCAATTCCACCACAGTCTCCTTACTACACCTTCCTCCTCTTTGTGCCTGCCCAGCCGGAGGTCTCAGCCTTGTCAGCTGCCCAGTGCTTTGCCCCCATGGCCACCACAGCTCACCAGTAAGAAACCTGCAGAATGTCCACAGACGGCCGCCCAGCGGAGAATGGGGTGGGCACCTTGGCAAATTACCACATAAGCAGCAATAAGAGTGCGACGTGCCACAGGGAAACGGAAAAGGAGGAAAACCCTCAGAGCCTCTGTGCCACCCGACCATAAACACGCCTGAAGGAAATCCAGATCCTTCTTATTGAACATGAAAACTGGGGCAGTGCGCCGAATCACTGACAGATTACACTTCTCCAGCGGACGAAAGGGACACAAATGTCAGCACTCCATCCCAGCAGCACCCACGTTAAACCTTCCCTGGCCAGAACTCTAAGGGACCAGGGAGGCCACTTAGCACAAGGGAATCATAAAGTCAGTACATGGCACCTCTGCTGGAGAACACTCATACACTGGGAATTGGAATAAAATGTATAAATACTTAATGCTCACCAATTTTATGAAATGTAAATTTTTAACCACGTATCTTGAACAAAGCACTTACCACAGCTTAGGGATTACGAGCTCAGGACGCTCATCTTTCCAGGTGTTTTTCCAGACCTACCATAAATCAGGAATCCTGGGGGTTAATGTGCCGGGCTGCAAGGTTGGCGGTTCACACTTACCAGTCGCGCCTCAAAAACACAATACTGGGTCGCTATGGGTCGGCACCAATAGAAGGCACTTAACAACGACCACAAATAAGGGAGCACGGTGGCTCCGTAGGATAATTACTGGAATTTGAACACAAGGCCAGCAGTTCGAGCCCACCAGCCTCTCCAAGGGAGAAAGATGAGGCTTTCTGCTTCCACAAAGATTCACCACCTCAGAAACCTTATACAGAGTTGCCACGAGTTGGTACCAACTCAACAAAACAATAACAAACAACCACCACAGGTAAAAGCAAAAAGGTCAGACATTTAAGAAGCAAAGTCAGCGTCTATTTCTCCTCACCTCACCCAGCTTTTCAGAGAACCTCTACAAGAAAGCATCAATCGAGTCCTTCTACAGTGAGGGGTCAGTGCAGACACAGTGTATCAGAGTGGACAGGAGATTGTGTCCTCTATGGCAGTGGCCACACAACGCTTCAAGTCTGCAGCAGCAATACTTTACAGACCAAGCAAATCTTTCCCTCAATGGCTTCTTTCCAAACAGAGAGGCTGCCAGATGCTGCCAGAGCTGGTGCCTTCTACCCACAGGGCCTTCATGGGGTCCAGGCCACGACAGGTGACGCCCATGGCACTTTCTACTCAGACGCATGCATCTTCTTTCCGTAGGATTCCATGATTCCCTTGGAGACTGTCCTGCCACCTTCTAAAACCCACATCCACTCATTCCATGGGATCACAGAAATGGCAGGTGTGAGAACAGCACACAGTGAGCCGCCCGATGTCCAAGTCTAAACAGTGAGACCACGCAAGTGAGGCAGACACCCAGAGGTGCAGCCACTGCTCAGAATCACCGTGGGGCCTGGGGACCACCCGCCTGTGCCTCTAAAGAGAAGGAACTCCAGGGAGCTGTCTGCTGTCCCTCCACTCTTATCCCAGATGGAAACAAAAGTGCTTAGGGCCAGCACTGCTCTCAGTCTCCACACGCCGCTCCACTTACTTTACACTCTTCATTTTGATAGAGACAGTTTCTCAGAAGCTGCATGGCGGTGCTTAACTCTCTAATGAAACCGTCCTCCTGTGGAAAGAAAAAGTACGTGAACCCATGAGCATGCCGCACAACCCACGCTTTACCCACACGGCGCTGCCTCTGCTCCCACACACTGCCGTGCACCCGCCTGAGAAGCTAACCATCTCTGGAAAGGGTTGTTTCTCAAGAAGCTCGTCTACCACCAACAAGCCAATTCCGCTCCATGGAGCAGGGAGGACCGCCACACGGAACAGGCTCCATTCTCCTCTCAACAGAGTGAGGCATGTGTGGTTGGTTCTCAGTCACTTCAGGTGAGGCCTGACTTCCTCATAAGCTCTGTGTCCAAAGAGGATAAAGGAAGAGAGACGGGAGGAGAAACCGACCCCAGCCTCCATTATCTGAAATACGGTGCTCAGTGTCTACTTTGGAAGAAATGAGTCTTTCTTCAGCACACAAAGCATTCAGTCTCTCCCTCAGCTGATACGAAAGCAGAAAAAAAAACAACTTACAGCCAGAGGGGCTTCAAAGAGTTTGTGGGAAATTTCTATTACCATGGAATTCTCTTTTTCCACGAACTTTTGAAGCCCACTCCTACTGCTGAGTGAGAGAGCAGTCAGGAAGCTCAGGAACGGCATGGCCAGTCGAGGCAGGGGGCAGAGCTAGGCATGGAGCCAGGAGACCTCCAGCGGCTTGAAGCCGGTGCCCTGACCCCACCTCTGTGGGCCTGTTTCAACAGTGTTGTAACAATTCCATCACCTGTAATTCCATGACACAGTGTGTAAGGACAGTCTCCACACTGCCACAGCATGCTACCCAGGTGGAGAGTGAGAGGAACAGCCAACGTCTGATGAAGACTTAGAGCCTCAGAAACCCTGTACAGCGTCACTATGAGTGGGAACCGACTCCACAGCACGCAATCACCACCACCAGCCCCAAAAGAGTCTGGGCAGCGCAGTGGCTAATTCAAAGGTCAGCAGTTTGAAGACACCAGCTGCTGTGATGAAGAAAGATGTGGGGTCTGCTTCTTGAAGACTCCAGCCTTGAAAACCCTCTGGGACAGTTTTACTGTCTCCTTCAGGGGAGCTATGAGGTGGAATTGACTCAAAATCAACCCAAAACCCACCAAACTGGCTAATGTAGAAATCTCTATTTTATCTGTCCCTCCTTTCTTCTAAATCAGACATTTCAACCAAACGCTGGTGTTGCTGGTGAAACCCTAGAGCGCTGGGAAGACGATGTTTACATACCTCCCTCCTTTACCCCAGAACGACAAAACTCAGTCACCTTTTTTTTCAGGGCTGCTTTCCCAGGTCTCAGAGACTGTAGGTTCAGTTGTGCGTAAATATGCTTCATCTGCTCCATGCAACTGTCTATGAGACCAGCTGAAAGGCAGAAACTAACAGTCAAAAGAGGATTCCATTCTCACAGAGGTAACACAACACCATCACAGTGCAGCTCTCACACCTCAAATTCCTAACCAACTTCATTATGCTCAGGGAGAGAGTCAAGAATCACGGAAGAGACTACACTAAAGCCTACTTGTTTTCACGATTCTAAATAAGACGCTCCCAGAATCTGTTCTAGGCACGCATACTTTGTTTTCTTTAGAATCCTGGTGTGGCCCTGTAGCAAAATGCGCTGAACCACAAGGTCAGTTTGAGCTACAATGTTGGCAGTTCAAACCAACCAGCCACTCCTCAGAAACCCTAATACATGGTCACTTTGAGTCCGAACGACACAATAGCACTTAACAACAAAGTTGTTGTTCTCAAGTGCTGTTAGTAGTAAATCACAGCTAAAATGGATATAGTTGATAATGCTGTTATTCACTTTCAACTCTAAGACATGTGTTCCCAGATGTCCATATAAGAAATGACAGCATTCTACGCAAGAAGTTTATGTGAAAATACAAGACCATTTCAAGCAGCTATAATTACCAGTCAAGCTATGTGTTTCTTTCAGGTGTGCAATGATTTCCTGGTGGGTATTTTGCTATTACTGTGGAAGTGAGAAATGCACTACCTTTGCCGCTACTTTGCTAACTGCAAGGTTGGCGGTTCAAACCCACCAGCCGCTCCACGGGAGACAGATGCAGCAGTCTGCTTCCATGAAGGCTGTCAGCCTGCCTAGGGAACTGTACGAGACTTCTACTCTATTCTGCAGTGTTGCTAAAGTCAAACTGACTTGATGATAACTGGAATTTTTTTTTTCTTAAATATTTATGCACAGACTCTTTAGGCTAAGAATCATTAATTACACAACAAAAATAATCTACATTTATAATATTCTGAGATAGCGTCCTGGTGTGGCACTGTAGGATATGCACTGGACCACTAGCTGAAGGTTGCCGGTTCAAATCCACAAGTAGCTCCTCAGAAACCCTACAACACAGTGTCACCATGAATTGGAACGGAATCAACAATACTTAACCACAACAAGAAAACATTCTGATTTCACAAAGAATGCACTGTTTTTGTAAGGAAAGTTCTTTTTTTTTGTCCCAGTGACACTGACATGGTGCTATAAGCTCTTTACCTATGAGTTCACAGGAAGTTGGACAAACGGAGAAATGCATCAAGTGACAACTCGCCACAGGACATTTCTGTGCTGTGCACCTCACCTTTAAGAGCGTGTCTCTGGGCCCTTCTGCTGACGGCCAGGAGTGACAGTAAGGTCCGGGCAGCAACTCCTTTCAGGGGATCTCTGGAGGACTTCCCTTCATAGCACTGCAGAGGACAGAGCACAGCTGCCAAGCAGAACAATTTCATCTGGAGCAGGACTGTTTTCAGTGAAAGACGCGTCCTACTTAAAAGGCACAGATAGATTTCAGCTATGCGATGACATTCACTGGAGAGGGAGACAGCAGGAAGATCTGAGAATGCGCTGTGGATAAAACTGCCACAGGACTTCAGCAGATGGAGATTCCTGAAATCAACTCTCAAGATCTCATCATCTTAAAATAATTGAAAGTACTGGCACACAGTTAGCGTGTGCACTTACTCAAAGCCATGAGGCCACACGTGTATATGTGTGAATTGTTAGAACACGTACTGGGCAGGAGAATGTCCTCACTTTCTTCCTTCCTTCTTCTCAGACAATTCCCCTCCTGCCATCCCCACTCAACATGCCCGTGTATCTTGGATTCTTTGGATCTTCCAATCTTTCTTTTCTACAATAACAAGGACCATTAATAGGGCATATTTTGCCTGAAAAAAGTACTTCCTAGATTTTTTAGACTTTTAACAAATATTTTATTAAATCATGAAAATACTAATATCTCAGTTGACTTCCTTCATACATTTGAATTTGTGTTTAAAGTTGTTATTATAAAACAAACTAAACATTATAAAAGGTTAAGTTCATCAAATTGTAGCAATTTACACTTGTTTCCTTTATCAAACATTGTTTATATTCCTCTAGTTGAGTTCTGATTATCAAGCCATCGAGGCTACGTTAAATGGGTACTATCTGCAAGTTTGGTCATTCTTGTGTGTCTCCCCTCATTTCATATCAGCTGGACGGTTTACTCTCAGCTCTAGCCCTATGTGGCTATGTCCTTGTCCATGAGCTCAGGAGTCCCCGGGTCTTGCCTCTCATCGGAACAAACAGCCCTTCCTCTTCTCTCTCTCATCTCCAAGTCAATGGGAGTCTATGGAACACAGTTGAACTGAACTCATTTCTTCATTGCTGGCTTTTCCCCTCTTCCACTCACCAGTAAACCAATGTGGTCACCAGCAAGCTTACATGTCTGCTCATGTGTTCCTTTTGAGTTTCAGTCTTAGAGGGGGGCCTGTCTTGAAGGAACTTGATTGCTTGCCCTGATGGCTTCCCGGCGAACAACCTGCGTATTCTTGTAATACACAATCATGCTGCCATCTGTTTTTCTTGGGAGGGGGCCTGCTGATGTTTCTTTGGAGATATATATCCTGTTGTTCTAGCTGTTCCAGGCTGGTCTGCTTGTCCTTTCTAGTGGGAATGTCCCCCTCAGAAGGATCTGGATGGGGCTCAGGATTCTACCTAAGGCCCTATACACTGCAAAGGCTCCTCAAGAGGCCTATTTCACTGGGCAAGCTGTAGAACCCCTTGTAGGTATTCCAATCAGTTATAGGCTGAAGATGAGCTTACAAGCTTTCTGTAATCCTGTTTCCCAACATTCCTTTCTATCCCACTTAAGTGTCTGTTTTATAATAGTAGGCAAGGGAAACCAATATTCATAAGACAGTCAAGCATCTTAGCATTATTTCCCCACTTCAGACTATGCCTCGATCCCTGTATCACAGAGCCCTGTTGTTCCAAGGTTGGGCATACATCACTATTTACCTCTGTCCCATTTAGCTTTTAAACACTTTCAAGAGGTCTTGTGCAGCAGATTTGCCTAATGGATGACTCTGCTGGTATTTAAATTACCGGTGACAGAGGTTCCAGCCTCACAGACACACAGCAGCCATCAGATTACAGCACGCTGACAGACGCATGGTGGACCTTTCTCTCTGGGCACTATAATATTCCAACTTTGGGAACCCATTTCAGGTGGGTATGTGGCTGGAGGGTGCAGAGAGCTGCATCTCATTTCCACGGTTTGGGGTCAATGGGCACTGTCCAAACAGGAGTGAAGACCAAGTTCCAGAGGTACGGAATAACAACTGCAGAACAATCAGCTACAAGGGGTGGTCTCTAAGAAAGACCAAGGTGACAGATGACAGATGTCACATGTTTCAAGTAAAAAAAAAATTAAACTATCTGGCGCTGGGAAATGTGTCCATAGTAAAAAACGAACTCCAAAAACTAACGGAAGAAGCGAACAGGACTGACCGGGAGCAAGTCCACACACTGTTCAACTGAGGACATGAAGTCAGAGTACATGATTCATCCACACAGCCTTTACTGTGACAGAGGAAGTGGCTTAGGAGGCGTACAGGGTGGCTGGTGGGAGGAGCCTGTGGGGGAGGGGGGGCAGCTGGTTAAGAATGAGACTCCAAGGCCACATGGCTGAAGAAACAGCCAGCCAGCAAAGGCCCAGAGGAGTGAAAAGCAAAGCTTGGGATACAGAGCAACTTGACATCTTGTGACTGATCACAGCTAGAGAGGAAGTAAAATAACAGCACAATTTACTCAAAGCTAACTCTTTTTTAAATTGAATTCCATCTGCACATGAAGTGGTCTAGGTATCTCAGGTCAAAATCTTCCTGCTTTCGTTCCAAAAGGCCATTAATGTAAAGAACAGTCTTCCTACTTACAGTGAACAATTGTCAACACAATGAGCATTCATCAACACAGAGATGGCTCAAAAACGTAAGCCTTCTCTCCAATAGATTTACTGTTGGAATTTATATTCACTCAACATGAGTGCAAAATACATTTTCTAAATTCTCATGTTCCCTTCCAGTATTATTCTTAGAGATCAAATCAACATAAGCAGCAAAATGAATTCAACAAGCGACTTACAGACATAACCAACTAACTACATATAGAGAGATTTTCACAGATTTGGTTACCAGCTATACGTGTTTGTAGCTGAAACACACTGAGCATCTTTACAAGCTAGGCTAAGGACAATATCCATTAAGTCAATGTGCCCAACCCTTTCCTGTCCAAAGATACACACACACTGGCTCACAAAACAAACACCAACCTTGAGTAAATGTGCCCCCTTCAATTATCAGCTCTATGAACTCAAATGGCCAACATTTTCCCAAAAACAGAGAAGCAAGGAGGGGAAGGGAGTCTCAGACAATGCAAACCGAACAAATGGAATGGAAGTGACGAGAAAGCTAACACCTTGAGAAAACAGTAACCAATGTCATGGAACAATATGTATAAAAATTGTTAAATGAGAACCTAATTTGCTGCACATACTGTCACCATAACACAATAAAAAACATTTTTAAAAGACAGTTCATAGGCCACAGAAGACTAGAGTGTAGAGTGAAGCGTCCAGCTGATATGAAGTGAGGGGAGATGCACAAGAACATCCATACTTGAAGATAGTACCCATTTGACCTGGCTTCAATGGCTGGATGATCAGAACTCGACTAGAAGAAGAGGGGAAAAAAAAAAAAAAAAAAGAACCTGCTACAATTTGATGAACTTTAAGCCATGGTATTTTCAATAACCTCATATGCATGCAAAAGCTGGACAGTGGCTAAGGAAGACAGTAGAAGAATTGAATATTGAAAGTGCCATGGACTTCCAAAAGAACCAACAGATCCATGTTGGATGAAGTACAGCCAGAGTGCTCCTTGGAGACCAGGATGGCTAAGCTTTGTCTCTCATACTTTGGACATATTGTCAGGAGGGACCAGTCACTGGAGAAGGATATAAGGTTTGGTAAGGTGGAGGGTCAGAGAAAAAGAGGAAGACCCCCCAATGAGATGGATCGGCCAAGTGGCAGCATCGATGGACTCAAGCGTGGCAACAGTAGTGAGGTTGGCCCAGGATCGGGCAGGGTTTCGTTCTGCTGTGCGGAAGGTCACTATGGGTTGGTACCGACTCAATGGCGCCTAACAACAACAACATGGTGGATGTCGTAGCTCAAAAAAGGGCACAAATCTTTACAGCGAGGATCACTCCCACCCCCTCAGTACACACGGTTGACAGGGCTGGGCAACTTGGACATTGGCTACACAAAATGGGGCGTGGGGGGATACAAAGGCAAGAAGTGACTGACATACAAGTTTTCAAGAGACAGCCTTGTTGCAGACAGGGCGGGGGAAGGTAGAGTCTTCACTGAATGATTTCCAAACCTGTTGGAACAGGGCTAATGAAATGAGATGGGGATAGGACTCTTGTGGTACAATAGTAAATAATTGTTATCAGGACTGACTGTGAGGGTCGGAAATGTAAAGGCAGATGTTTTGTAACAAAAGGAACAGAGTAGTTAATTCTGCAGTCCAGGAGCAGAGGACCCTGGTACCATCAAGGGAGAAGAACGGAGTACGGGACCCTACCCAGAGAAGCAGTAATGCCAGAAATGGAGGCAGAGATGATGACGTGACTGATGGAGCGGCTGGGGACTCTGGACTCAGGGAGGGAGAGGGGCTGTGTGAAGATGGCCGGAAGACAGGCCTGTGGGGTGTACCCTTTGGTTGTTTGATGATGATGCATGGAGAGGATTGTAATCATTGCAATGAAATGAAATACGATAGGATGAATATAAAACTGATGTTCTCCCATGTAAACCCACGTAATTCACAATAAAAACTTTTTAAAAAATAGATAGTCCAAGTTTCTTGGGGAATATTCAAACCATGGAATCATCTCAGACAGAAATGATCAAACACAGCCTTCCAGGTTCTGTGAGTGGTGAGCAGCGTGCCTTCCCCACAGGACAGCAGCCCTGTAAAAGGGACTCTGCCAAGGTGTTTGAGTTGAAGGAAGGCAGGGGTGAGACAGGGTGGGTGGGGGCGGGGGGAGGGTGCTGCTGAAGCTAAGCAGTGATGCCGTAGAAACCCCTCATTTTGCATTGGAAGAACTGCATCACATGAGGGAAAATGATTTGTCTAAAACCACTCATCTCTTTCAGAATGGCTTTAAAGGACACTGAAGGGCCCTGGTGGTGCAATGGGTTCAGCACTGGGCTGCTAACGAGAAGGTGAATGGTTGGAATCCACCAGCTGCTCTGTAGGAGAATCCATTTGACAGCAGTGGGCTACAGGACATCAATTGTAGACTCATTTTCTCCCGATAATTTAAAGTTACCACAACGAACTTTTCATCACGCCAGACTCCTAAGCTTTCTATCTTTGACATGGTATTCAAAGTCTGACACCATGGTGCGCACCCTCCTGATTTTCATATCAAAGTTGATTTCCTACCACCTGTTTCTTCTTATTATTTCCTGGCGACTGAATGACTTTCCTATCTCAACAAACATGCAGTAAAGTATCCGTCTGCTCTTAGAGCTCCTACGGGCAAGTCTGCCTTTGAACAGCACACCCCGTCAGACACGGACAGCACTTCAGAGTCTATAGGAGCTTTTCAAGTCCCCTCTGCAACATTACAAGAGGACTCGAGTATGTGAGAGTTCTGGTGAGGCAGTGTCGGAACAGCACTGGACTGCTAACCCACCGTCCGTCCCACAGGAGAAAGCTGAGGCTGCCTGCTCCCCTAAGACTCACAGCCTCAGAAACCCTACACAGGGGCGCTAGGAGGTGGAATTGGCTTGATGGCAGTGGGGTTGTTGCATTTTTTTTTTTTTACCATGAAAAAGACAAATACAGAAAGGCAATTCCAAGGAGGTGCCTTATCTACTCTAAAGGGTAAGTAGAGGCCCAGTGTGCCCACCCCCTGCCAGCTCAGAAGCAGGTGTGGAAGCCAATACTCCCTCCACGGGCCAGGCTCAGACTGGGACAGGCGGTGCCCTCATCTCACCCCGGCTGCTTTGTCTGCATTCTGAAGAGTCAAGTCTGACACTCAACACACTCCAGTAATCAGAGCAGAAATCTGCAGGGCCCAGACTTCTGCAGCCAGAGAGCAGCGAGATCTCCACATTGGAAGGAGCGAAGCGAACCAAACAAGTCCGCTGACAGGCACAGCCCTAGCGTTCTTGTGAAACTGCAACAGTCTGACTGGGAAAGGCAGGAAACCTGCTCACTGCACACTGTCCTACCTTCCCATCCTTCCGTGAGGATACAACAATCCTAACATCTGGTGAGTATTCGAGAAGGGCGTTCTTAACATGAAAAACCTAGAATCACTTCCATATGTAAGAAACAGGTCTGTAACTTAGGAAACATTTCTCTGATATTTTGTAAAATTACTCACAAAAGAGCAAGCTGACTTTAGACTGGCGATGAACAAAACCCTTGGTTCACGCTTGGAGGTTGGAAAAACTAAGTTTATACAGAATTTGGCAGCTGTGCTTGGAGAGGGGGCCATTTCCTATAGTCACGTCAACAAGTCCGTTTCTGCACACAGCCATCCAGGAAAACATCAGGTCCACAGAGCTCCAGGGAATGGCATCGTGGGGACTATATCTTCAGAGGTGTACACGTAGCTTACTAAGGCGATACATCTAGTCCACGCCTACACTCCTGCATTCGCCTTTACAGGTCACAACGGGCACTAGTTTCACAGACTGCTGGGGTAGGGCTCAGCCTTATGGACTTCTCTGAATAGACACAGTGAGCGTAGTTATTTGTTTTTTTCATTCAAATGACTAAAACAATTGTAGGACACTGAGACAGAATGTCTTACAAATAGGTAAGTAAAAGTTTGGGGAAATTAAGAGATGGCTTACCTGAAGAACTGCTTCACTCAGCTGCTCTAGTGATTTCTGGTTTTCCTTAGTCTTATCCAGAAGCGAAGTCACCGTGGGACTGTGGCAGGGATGGGTCTCCTCCTTACTCCGGAGACGTCGCTTAGCTTCTTCAGTCAGGAGAACAGACAGGAACTGCAGGCTGGCAGTATGGAGCGTAGGGCACGTGGCAGACAGCCCCACACACATGCAGAGCGTATCTAAAGGAGGCACGGATTTCACACCAGGCTGATGAAAAATGTCTCCCACAGTTTAATGAAGAAGAAATGAATCGAATAAATTGGAGTCATTAGTAATGCTACAAGCAGGGATTTCTATGAATGGTCACTTTTATGAACTATGTTTCTCCTAACATTATCATGTGGAAGCACGGAGGCTCTGTAGGGACTGGACTGCTAGCCACAAGGTTGCCAGTCAGAGGTCACCAGCCACTCCACGGGAGAAAGATGAGGCTTTCTGCTTCTGCACAGACCGTCAACTTCAGAAACCCTGTACAGGGTAGCTGTGAGCTGGAACCAACTCAGCAGCACCTAACAACACCACCATTATCAATAGCAAAACTATGTGGTGTTTGGGTCATTATTACATAAAACTGTGTATTCTATGGGAGGTTTAGAATTTAATGTCTATTTCATCACTAGAGTACTAGTCCCAGGTTGTTGCTAAATGCTGCCAACTCAAAGCAACCCTGCATAGGATTTCCGAGTGGCTGGTGGGTTTGAACTACGAACTTTGTGATTAGCAGTCCAGTACTGAACCTCAGCGACACATCAGGACTCCAGGTCAGCTGTCTTAAATCGAGGGTTCAGAAAGCTTTTTCTGAATAGGTCCAGAGAGTAGCCCTTTAGCTTTGCGACAACTACAACTCTTCAATTTTGCCGCTGGACGATGGGACCCAGCAGGCTGGCCGTGCTCCCCACAAACGCTGACCAATGAGGCGGAGGACCGATGGGGCCAGCAGTCTGAGTGCCCCAAGTAAGGGCATGCTGCTGCTTCAAGTTTCTGACTGTCAGGAAGTAAGCTTGTGCTTCCCCAAGGACACAGGAGGAAAACTCGGTTCTGTAATACAGTCAAGGTGCCCACAAGGCCAGTACGCCCTGTGTGGGGGACACTGGATTCTTACATCCAGATGATGGTGAATTCTGTGCTTCACTGAGTACACGTCTCCCCACACATCTGAAGTCAGAAGAGTTAAAAACTGTGTCCTGCATCTGTTTATAGAATGACCAACTGATAAAGTATGTGTGGGGCTGTGGGAGGAGGCAGTTGAATTCGTGGATAACTTGGAAGTTTAAAAGAATTCAACTTTGAATACATTTCAACAGGTTATGAACATTCATGTAAAACGGTGCTGATGACTAGGTTAAAATGTACAAGTGAGGAAACTGAGGAACGGAAGAGCAGTTACTTTAAATAGTCCTGTGTGGGGCCCCTGAAGGAAAAGCACTCCACCACAAGGTCAGTGTGGACCACGGGTCAGTTTAAACTCCTTGGAAACCCAGTAAGGGGTCACTATGAGTTGGAACCGACTCGACCACACTGAACAACAACAAAATTCTAAAGATAACCCTCCTTTGTTGTCTTACAACTATTACATGGAAAGCATCCTATAAGAAAATGCACAGTCCTCTTGGAACTTCTGATCTCTAAGAAAACCAGGCGTCCTGCGATGGTATTTTTATGAAAACTTTCCATGTAACCATTCATGAAGGGTTGGACCACCACAGACTCACCCCTACAGTGCACGTGTGTCAAATAATGGAAAGGCATGGATTTCTTCTACACCAATACAGGCAAATCTACCTGCTGCTTTGTATTTATGTCATATGCATCATCAAAACCACAGATTTCTGACTTACTGTCATTGTAGCGTTTTTAAAAAACTTGTTATTGTGATGTACATACGTTTACAGAGAAAACTGGTTTTCCATCAACAATCCGTATCATTTTGTTTTCTGACACTGACTGCAGTCGCTAATGGTACCAGACTCTTCCCATGTCCTGTTCACTGGTTCCATTCATCCCTCGTTCCAAGCCCTGCCTGCCTTCTTAGCTGTACTCTGGGGCAGACGCTGCCATGCCTGACTTTTCTGAGGATTATCTACCCTCCCTGGTGTCCAGTTCACCTAATAGGCCTGTCTACTGTTTGGCTAAAAGTTGAACCACAAGGTTGAGTTCAGTGCCAGGCATCAGGAGTGTCTAAAGGCTTCGTTTTTTGGTATAATTTTGAGTTTTTCTCCTACTCCATCCAGAACTTCCTATTGCGATTCCTTGCAGACTTGGCAGCAGCGGTAGTTGGACATCATCCAGCTCTTCTGGTCTCAGCAGAGTCGAGGCAGAGGCTCAGTTAGTCTATGAGTTCCTTCCCTCTGTTCCAGACGAGGAGAGAACAGTAGCTACACTCACCAAAGTAGGATGAAGAACACTGTCTTTGTGGACTAAGCTATGCCAATTGGCCTTGGCATCCCCTGAGACTGTGGTCCTGGGCCCCCAGGTCCAGCCGATTCATTCCCTCAAGGTGTCTAGTTGCAGATAATAAGCTATCATAGCTTTGTCCCCCATCTGTTCTTCTATAAATATTTAGTTGCAGCACATATAAATATGCATCTAGAAATATCCTCTAATCAACCCTATTTATATTGTTATTGGTGAGTCCCGTTTACCTCTCTACCTGTCCAGGGTCCCTGCATCCACTGGTAGATTACTGTTATTACAGCTCTAGCAGGAGTGTGCACCTCAGAGCATCTTACCTCTGTAGCCTCGCACTCTCCAACTCCTCCCGTGTCTTCCCCTGCCTACATCACTTTCTTGTCAACTTCCCTCTTGTATACTGACTGCCTCTTCCTCCCCCTGAGCTAATACATGTCTACCATTTAGTGATTTACGCTCCATTCCCCGCCCACCTCTGGTAACCTCCAAAGAATATTTCCTTCTGTGTGTAAGCCTTTTTGCTTTGTTACAGCAGTGGTCTCCTACAGTACTTGTTCTTTTGTGACTAATTGCATTCATCAAAATGTTCTCCAAGTTCAGACCCACCTTTATTCTTTAACACTGGGTGTACATTCCAGTGTTTACTCACAGGCTGATTCCATCTTTTTGCTGTATGAACAGTGCTGCAATGAACATGGGTGTGCGTAGATCTGTTCGTGTCGTGGCTCTTTTTCTAGGATATAAAGCTAGTTGTGGGGCTGACAGATCATAGGGCATCTCTAGTTGTACTTTTTTGAGGAAGCTCTGTACCATTTTCCACAGTTTCACCATCTGATAGTCCCATTAGCAGTGTATGGGGATTCCAGTCACTCTATACCCTTGCCATTTGAAGCTCTGTTCTTGTTTTTTTTTTTTTTTTCAGCTCACCAAACGTTGCTATTGATGTGGGGATGAGAGGAAATCTCATTGTGGTTCTGAATTGCATTTCTCTAATGGCTGATGTGAGTAAGAACTGACTCGACGGACTTAACAACAAATGACTAATGATCATGAACATTTTTAACATGTTTACTGGCTGCTTGAACGTCTTCTTTGGTGAAGTATCTGTTCTTGTTCGCTACGCATTTTTAATTGGATTGTTTAATCTTTTGTTGATGCATTGACATTTTATATAAATTCTGGAAATTTCTGCCTTGCCAAATACATCACCAAATTCTTTTTTCCCCTAGTCTCTAAATTTATTGGTCAAGTCTTTGTTGCACATGTTTAATTTTTAGAAGGTCCCAGTCAACTTGCCTTCTGCTGTGTGTACATTTTTAGGTATATTTGAGAGTGTATTTATGCCACGTATAAGAGTCCCCAAGTTTGGCCCCATTTTTCCTCTGATGATTTTTATAGTTTTAATTTTTACATTAAGGTCTTCGCTCTACCTTGAGTTCGTTTTTCAATATGATAAGAGAGTTACGTTGTGTTTTAGTTTTTGGCAGATGAATATCCATTTTGTTAGCACCAGTTGTTAAAGACTCATCTCTTGCCCCTTCTAATGGGGTTGGGCTCTTTGTCAAAGACCAGCTATCTGTAAGTGGATAAATGTATTTCTGGGTTCTTTATTCTGTTAAGTTGGTCTGTGTGTCTGTCATTGGACCAGTACCAGGCTGTTCTGACTACTGCGGCTGCGTAGGAGGTTTTGAGATCGGGGAGCATGAGAGTGTGAGGCCTCTTGCTTGGTTCTTTAACAGTGTTTTGCGTATCTGGGGTCTCTGTCCTCTCTGCATCAAGCTAGTGATTGGTTTTTCCATCTCTTTAAAGCACGACGATGAAATCTGGATCGGCATGTCATCATGGCTTTCGGGAGTGTTGACAGTTCGCAATGGTCCGTCTCCATATTGATGAGCGTGCTGCAGTCTCATATTTACGCCGTCATGGGTGATGTCATGGGTCTCCCTTGGATGCTTAGAGCAATGTTTTGAAGTTTTCTTTGTATAAATCTTTTGTGCGCCTGGTTAGATTTATATCCAAGTATTTGATTTTTGGGGGATGGTCTTCCTGATTTTCTTTTCAGTGTTCTTTTTGTGAGTGTGGAAGAACTGGATTGATTTTTATATGTTGATCTGATATCTGACCCTTCGATGAATCCTTCTAGTAACTCTATTTTTCTTGCTGAATCTGGAAATATCTACATATTAGATCATACCATGTGCAGATAGTGATAGTTTTACTTCTTCTTTGCCAATGTGGATGTGTTTTATTTTCCCTATCTTACCTATTGCTCTGGCTACGACTTGCGAGTGAATTTGGGAGCACGCTGAGCTTAATTCTTCATTCTTCATTTGACCAGTGCACTCCTGAACAGGAGTAGTGTTAAAGGGTCTCCTTGCCTGTTGCCTGATTACCATTCACATGAACAATTTTTTCAGAATCTCTCCATTGAGAGTAATGTTGCTAATTAGCTTTGTGTGTATATCCTTAATATGTTGAGGAATTACCTTTCAATTCCTATTTTGCTGAGCATCTTTATAAATAATGGGTGTTGGATTTTGTCATGCCTTTTCTGAATCAGTTGCTATGATCATTTGGTTCTTTTCCTTTGTTTTATTTATGTGCTAGATAATGCTGACTGTTTTACTAATGTTGAACCATCCATGAATCCCTGGTCTAAAGCCCGTTTAGTTGTGATATGTTAGTTTTTGATGTGCTGCTGGATTCTACTGGTTAGGATTTTGCTGAGAATTCCTGTGGCAATGTTCATGAGGAAAATTGATCTATAATTTTCTTTTTATAGTAATATCTTTGCCTGGTTTTGATATCAGGGTTATGTTTGCTTCACAGAATTGAGTTCAGAAGTATCCCACCCTTTTCTAGGTTCTGAAACAGTATGAATAGAATTGGTGGCAATTTCTCTAAATATTTGCCAGTGAAGCTATCTGGACCAAGATTTTATCTTGTTGGAAGTTTTTTGTGATCTGTTTAGTTTCTTCCTTAGTGATGGGTCTGTGCACATTATCTACCCCAGACTCTATACATTTAGGTAGGCAGTGTGCTTCGAGAAATTCGACTGTTGCTCACCGGTCACTGCCGCCCAGTGCCTGGCCAGCGCCTCTGTGACAGCTGGGAGAGACACGCCCCCCGCTCTTCTCAGCAGTGCCGCCAGGAGGTTAAACAAATGTGTCCAGGTGTGACGGAAAGCCAGTACCAGCTCTGCATCTGTAAGATTAATCAAGACAGTTCAGGTAATTAACAAAAAGAAGAAAAACACCTCTTCAAAATATGGAACTAGGACCACTTCATTACACTTAAAACAGGAGTGCCCTGGTCAAATGAAGACTGAAGCTCAGTGGGCTCCCCAATTTACTTCCTTTAACTTCTTGTTTCGCTTGCTTCCTAAAGGCATCACCCCTCCACCACCCTACACATAGGCAAATACAGACACACTCACAAACCCGCCTGATTAACAAGTGTGGAGCAGCAGCTGAATGTTTCACCCATAACTTCAGCAGTACAAGGTGGGCGCACTAGAAACACAAGCTACTGCAGCTGCTGTGTCTGGAGAAGCCAGCTGTCTCCTGGGTCCCCATTCCCTCGAGCAGCTTTGTGAGAGGGCATCGGGAAGCACCATGTGCCAAAGTCAAGGCAGAAAAGGAAGGAGAATTCATCTCAAGAGTCATGAAAGGCACTGACCCACAGAGAAAACCACGAGTCCAGAGGGGACTCTCAGCTGTGCCTGCCTCTGCATGAAGGCCACACCTCCTGCGTTCCTACCAGGTACATGGAAGCTGGTCAGCAGAGGCCGTGCCAGGACCGTCTTCTCCAACCACAGAGCGGCAGGCTTTGCCCCATTACTAGTACACTGAGGACGTCCCTGTCGCTGTCCAGGGCCCACTCAGTAGCGGGAACAAGCTCCACCCCGGGAGGTTCTGACCAAATCATTCTCAGCCTTTTTGTGGCCACGCCATCTTCACTTATGTTTCCACAGACATACTGCACATCTGCACTGTGCTGTGGATAGCTGCGCTTTATACAGGCAAAAAGCTTGCCTTACACTTCTGCTAACGCCAGCTTAAGAAGCGCTAAATAAAATATTTAGGCTGAAAAGTAAATGAAAAAGCATTTAACATTTGACTAAACTATGCTTTCTGAATAACTTTTAATATCATTTATTCACTTAGATAAATTGTAATGTGTCGGGTTGGGTATGTAATTTGTCATTTATATGAACAGATAATGGTGAGAGATAAGCTAAGTTTTCAAAAAGATTACATAAAAATACTTTAAAAACTAATTTTTAAAAATTTATTTTAGTGAACTTAACTTTTAACTTTTGCTAGACATAAAAAATATTAAAAAAATAACTGTTAACCAGCTGCTAGCTATCTATTGAAATAGTTAACATTTTTGTCTGCACATGGCATAGTTAATGGCAGATTGGATAGTTTATAAAATTAAGTGACAGAATGTACACCATTTAATTTCTTTCTCTAAGTGCAAGTCACACACAGGAGCAAGAGGGCTGATAAACACCACACCCACCGGCAGCCATCAGCACCCACAGGTCACCTCCCACAACAGGACTTGGGTACCAAGCAGTGACTGCGAGTCTGCATCTTCCACAGCCACATTCACTGAGGCTCTGCAGGCATCCCGGGCACCTCCCGTGACCTCATCATCTGTGCCAACGATTCTCCAGAAAACCCAACAAGAGACATTACAGACTAGGAAGGAGTAAAATTTCACTGCGGAGGGCCACATAACATTATAATATCCAAGGGTGCTTATTTCTCTCCCCCAGTTTTCGTTTTCTTGAGGGGTGGGGAGTGATAAAGAGCCTCAGATACACAATGACTAAAGCTGCTAGCCTAAAGGTCAGTGGTTGGGACCCAGTAGCTGCTCCATGGGAGAAAGATGTGGCAGTCGACTTTTAAAACCTAATATTACCGCCTTGGAAACCCTATGGGGCAATTCTGTACTGTGCCATAGGGCCACCATGAGTGGGGATCAAAGCAGAGTGTGTGGAGAACACGTGGGTCCCGGCACTGGGGTCAGTACAACACTGAGGAGGAGACCCTGGGCACTGGCTTTGCTGGGCTCCATCAAACACTCCACTGATCAAACCTGGAGCCATGCAAATCCATGCGCTTCAAAGGACTAACTAAGAATGAAATGAAATGCAAAGACTAACCAAATGATGGACTGCCTCACTCCAATCCACTTTCAAGGACTATCGCATGGGGAATTTGGACAAGATTTCATGGTTGCCACCACCTCCACTAAGCACTGCATGCCACTTTTTATCATCCTGCAGTTTCAGTCAACTAAGACCTTGGCATTTCCCCCATTCCAAATGGTTTATTAGCCAGTCATTTGGCCCTAGCCAGAGTTTATAAGAATAATTAATACCTAAAAGTCACTGCATTTGCAAACATTATGTAACAGCTTTGCCTTCATTAAACCCAAAGCACTAGGCTGGTCCATTTTTCCACCACATGACCCAAACGACCCACTACCGCCAAGTCAATTCCGACTCCTAATGACCCGACAGGGTGGAGTCCAACTTCCCAGATGGTTCCCAAGGCTGTCAGCTTTACGGAAGCAGACTGCCACATCTTTCTCCTGAGGAGCAGGCTGAGGGGTTCGAACTGCACACCTTTCAATGAGCACTTGCCTCAAATGTTCTCCTGGACCCACTTCACAGCATGCGAACTATAAATCACACTTATTCAAGAGTACGCTCTTCCCTCCACACTGAACTGACCTGACAGGTCTTTGGTGCACATGGTGAGAACCCGGACAATGTTGGCGAGCAGTGGTCTCAGAAGCTGGTCCCGACCCACGAGGTCCGGGTCCACCAGCAAGCAGGACTGCAGTAGCCGGGCCACGGACGACAGGCACTCCAGGAGGAATGAGACCTGCAGAGGAGACCGGGAAATGGAAGGAGGTCGTGTGCAAAGGCCACTCCACTGAGAAGGCAAGTTCCTTTTCTCAGCATTATCATCAAACAGATCTTTGTACAGCAAGGTGATAAAAACCAACTCAAACATTCATCATAAGTGTTCAATGATCTGAAGTTAAACCACGGCAGACAAAGCATCATTTTTATCATATTAGAAGCATACCACCCACGGTCACATCAACTCTGTCGACTAACATCATCACATCAAACAAAGCTATACTTTGAATTCCATTTAAAGAAAGATGGTCTTTGCATTCAAGGAGTTAAACTGGGGAATCAATACTCTGGAAGAAGCAGAAAAGGGCATTCTAAAGCCCAACACTCTAAGATTCTGTAAAGAAAAGAAAAACCAGATAATAGTCTTCAAAGTGGTCTATTGAGGAAAATGAAAATACGAATCAAATAGTTTAGCTATTGCTGCAGATTAAAGATAAATATGTTCTCTCGTTGGGCCCTCAGCTATCTCCAGCATGAAAATGTTCTTGTTAGGTGTCAACGAGTCGGCTTCAACTCACAGCAACTCCACGTATGGCAGAAGCCCGGTCCTGCGCCATCCTCACATGGAGGATGTTTGAGCCCACTGTCGCTGTCACTGCGTCTATGCGTCTCCTTGGGGATCTGCCTTCTTTTCATTGACCCTCCACTTCACCAGGAAGGAAGGATGTCCTTCTCGAGGGAATGATCCCTCCTGCCGACAAGTCTAAAGTATGAGAAATGAAGTCTGGCCATCCTGGCTTCTAGGCAGCATCCTGACTGTCCTTGGTCCAAGATCGACTTGTTTGGTCTTCTGACAGTCATAGCAACACACAGCACCCCACACTGACAGGCGAGTGGTGGAGCATAATAGAAATACTATTTTGTAAATGATGCAATATTGCCAAAGGAACCATCTCTGGAATGCTGCTTGATACTGATGTAATAGGAATTAACTAGTAAAAAACATACAGAAAAAAACGAATGCACTTGATATGTAATAATTGAAGAGTAAACTGTGGTATCTCATTATCCACTGTCCTCAGGCAATGACAGACTCCACAGCGGGTGAACTTTACAGACAGTCTGACACCAGTTTCTCTATATATGATGCTGTTGTTGTTAAATGCCTTCAAGTCAGATTCGACTCACAGAGACCCTGCACAGGGTTTCTGGGGCTATAAATCTTTCTGGGAGCAGAAAGCTTCCTCATATATGTGACAGGGGAAAGGAGTTCAAACGGTTCGTAAAAAAATTGTATTATCTTAGAAATCCATTTTTCCATGAACTTTTTGAAGCTCCCAATATTCTATGGGTTTTATTTATTTATTTTTAATATTTTATTGTGAATTATGTGATAGTGTACATGGGAGAGCATTAGCTTTATATTCATCCTATCGTATATCATTGCCATGGTTACAATCCCCTCCATGCATCCTCAACCAACCAAAGGGTATATCCTATAAACTTGTTCCCCGGTTATCAGCACACAGTTCCTCTCCCTCTCTGAGTCTAAAGACCCTAGCCACTCCATCTCTCCACGTCATCGTCTCTGCCTCCATCTCTGGCATCACTGCTTCTCTGGGTAGGGTCTCGCTCTCCACTCTTCTCCCTAAATGGTCCCAGGGGCCTCCGCTCCTAGATTGCAAAGTCAATCACTCCCCTCCTTTTGCTAAAAAACACCTACCTTTACATTCCCAACCCTCACCATCAGTCCTGATAAACAATTATTCACTATTGTATCACTAGAGACCTTTCCGCATCTCCTGTCATCAGCCCCGCCCAGACAGATTGGATACTACTCAGTGGAGATTCTACCTTCCTCCACGCCCTCTTGATCTAGGCTCCCTCTTGAAAGCTTGTAAGCCAGTCACTTCTTGCCTTTGTAGCACCCCCATTTTGGGTAGCCAGTGTCCAAGTTGCCCATCCCTGTCTACTACTCTGTGTATAGAGGGGGTGGGAATGATCCTCACTATAAAGATTTATTCCATGGGTTTTATTTCCAGGTTGTCTTATAGTTTGAGTCAGGGACCACTCTACATTTGTAAAGGGGTTGTTGTTGTTAAGTACCGTCGAGTCAGTTCTGACTCATAGCCACCTTGTACAGGGTTTCCGAGGAGCGGATGATGAACTTAAACCACCGACTTTGCAGTCCAGCCCATTAACCCGCAATGCCACACCATGACTCTTGTAGAGGGTACATTGCTAAAATAAACAGCCTGCAACTATTTCAAACTCAACCTTTCTGAGGCACAAGCCCTGCTCTTTTTCATCTGCAGAGCTATTTTATATAAGTACAGGTGTGATGACAGCCTCGTATTAGGTCAAATGCAAGCATTTTATGAAAGGTCACCTCCTTGTGCTGTGAAGTCTTTAGGCTCTTTATGCTCTATAGCACTGCACTGACCACACATCTGACCTCTGGGTAGACGGCGAGCTCCCCTAATGGAGACACCACACAAGGGGAGAGCCAGGCAGCAGCAGCACACAGCGAGCAGAGCTGGACTGTTACGGGCTCATCTGTCAGTGACTGGCACAGCCAACAACCAGTCATGGGTAAGCAGCACATTCAGCCCTCCACTGGCCTGCGTGAGCCCACACCCACACTCCTGGCCCTGTGCACCTCCTGGCCCACGCCCTGGCCATTTCAGGCATTTGCCCATGTGATCTAGCAATGAGAGCCCCGCTGAGGCCTCCTGCTCTGCATACCCCTCCTCCTTAATTTAGTCCACTTGCACGCAGAGCAGAATCCAGTAGGGCAGACGCTTGAACGTGGTTCTGCAATGAGTGAACGAACCCACCACGTAAATGAAGGATCACGTGGAAGCACAAACAGCCAAGAAGTGTTTCATCTACACAGAGCAGCCAGAACCCCAGCCTGCCCGACGCCGGACAACCCTGGACAGGGAACTACTGTCTATGCCTCAGTGATGCCCTTGACAAAATGGGGACACTAATGAAACTTTGTGGGACTGTTGTGAGGATGAAGGACATCAATGAATACAGATGAGCACCCAAAAACCAGAGCAGACTCACTGCTGCTGTGCCATTTCCCACCAACAGTGAGCCCAGAGGGCAGAGCAGAACTGCTGCATAGGGTTTCCCAGCTGGCACGCTCCAGGAAAGCAGACTGCCTCATCTTTCTCCCCAGGAGCAGCTGGTGGGCTCAAACCATCGTCCCCATAGTTAGCAGCCAAACGCTTTAACTAGGCGCCACCAGGGCTCCTCTTTTACTAGGCTGAATTTTGAAAATACACATAACTTAGGCAGGACACATTTTAACAAATTCACAAATTCAACTGGGGTGGAATGAACAGACATAAGAGATGGTTTGATCTGGGGAAGGAGGGCTCTGTGCCCCCACATTTTCTGTGGTACTCACAGATCTCCTTACTGTTGAGCGCTGGTTATTAGGGGCAGGGCTAGGCCCATCTCCTTCGGTTACCAATAAACCACCAGGAGTCGGGGCCGACCAGACAGCAACTCACAAGCAGCATCAAGGACAGGCTGTCTCCACACTCCCTGCTCCTCCCCACCACCCACCTCGCTCCTGGGAACATCTCAGAGGCCCCCATATAACGAGCCTCCTCACACCACGGATTTGCTCCTCGCATTTCTCCTCAGCAGAAACACTGATCTGGATGCCTATGGCCAGGGCTTTGAGCAGCCCTCTCTAGTCCAACCTGCCGCTGAGATCGTGTATTTCCACCCCAGAAATGCTGCCCTAACAATCAATCCCCAGGTGAAGCTCAGGTATACATGGGGATCTATCAGAATCACCCGGAGATATTTCTGAAGCGTAGATTCTGATTCAGCATGTTTGGGGTGGAAACAAATTCTCAGCAGCACGTAGAACTGGAATGAGCTGGTTTGAAGCCCTGCCTAAAGCAGACTCTCCCTCACTACCACCCTGCACCTGGGCGGCCAGGGACACTCACCTGGGCCTGAATGTGCTCAGCAGGAGAAGAGGAAGGCAGATGCGTCCTGAGTTCCTGGACACACTTTTCTATAAAGGTGGAATCTGCAAGACTACGATGGAAAGAAAAAGAAATCTTTTAGCCTGAACGTTTCTCATTATAGATTAATACATCTGAACTTGAAATTTGAAATTAACCTTGGATTAATTCAAGAGAAAGGACTTTAATTTAAAAAGTTTATAAAAATATACTCTACAAAATTTCAGAACACAGAACAAGTTCTTATCAGATAACCCTCCGTCCAGTCAGGGATCTCGCCTGCTAACTTGCCCATGGTACAGGAGATGAAAGCTTGTCAGCCTTGCTTCTAAAGAGCATTCTGACTGTCCCTCTGCCAAGCCATTTATTTATTCATTGTAGCAGTCCATGGGACACTCAACATTCTTTGCCAACACCATAGTTCAACTTCATGAAGTCTTCCTCAGTCTTCCTTAATCATTGGCCAGATTTCACATGCACATGAGGCGACTGAAAAGATCATGGCTTGGATTAGGTAAACGTTACTTCTCAAATCGACGTTTTGCTTTTGAATATTTTAGAGGTCTTTGGCAGCAAATCTGCCCAATCACATGATTTCTTGACTGCTGTGGAACCAAGTAAAATGCAATCCTTGACAGTTTCAGTATCTTCTCCATGATATTACTACTTATTGGTCCAGTAGTGCGGATTTCGGTTTTCTATTGAGGCATAATCCATAACCAAGGCTGCAGCCTTTGAGGGTCATCAGTAAACGCTTCATGTCCTTTCGCTTCCAGCAAGCAAGTAGAACCTGCACATTGTAGGTTAATGACTCTTCCTCCAATTCTGATGCCATATTCTTCTTCAGATAATCCAGCTTCTCAGGTTATTTGCTCAGCACACAGACTGAATATTTATAGTGAAAAGATACAACCCTGGCACACTCCTTTGCTGATTTTAAACCATTCAGTGTCCCCTTGTTCTGTTCACATGACTGCCTCTTGGTACAGGTTCGGCATGACCACAGGTGTTCAGGAATCCCCTTCTTTGCAATGTTATCCATAGTTTGGCATGATCCACACAGTCTAAAGACTTTGCAGAGTTAATAAAGCACAAGTAAACATCTTTCTGTTATTCTCTGCTTTTCCTCCTCTGACATTAACAATGATAGTCCTTGCTCCATGTCCAAGTTCCAATTTGAAAGTAAATAATTCAAGCAAGCAAAACAAATAGGGAAATCATTTCTTTAGGTCAGAAATTAAAGACCAGGTATGGGGCGACGTTAAGCCTTTGCAATAAATGACCCTTTAATGCTTCTGGGACCTACATGTCACAACTGACATGTTCTGATTCTTGAGAAGCAAGAACACTTCTAAAGCTTCACTTTGTTTGTTCTTGATGCAGAAAGCATCCCAGAAGGGGAATCCATCAACTAACAGTTTCCTTTTCCAACCCTGAGACGCAGCATCAGAGTAGAACAGAAGACAACAAACAAATATAAGAAAATGAGCAAATTTGTAACTCACTGCATATTGCAATAAGTCAATTTGATCCCAAAAAGAAAGAGTCACTGCATATTGCAATAAGTCAATTTGATCCCAAAAAGAAAGAGAAAACATTTTGGGCAAAGCAGAGGGAAACTTTTCAGACCATGAACATTCACAGGCAAAGAGACAGAGGAGCAAAGGGATCCAGATGAACACTTCACAGGGTTTCAAGGAGCTGGGTATGTGTGCTTACGGAGTATGGTGACTACATTCAGCTGCCAGTCGAAAGATCACCAGTTCAAACCTACCAGCTGATCTTCAGGAGAAAAATGTGCCAGCCTGCCTTTAAAAATATTTATAGTCTCGGAAACTCTTAAGGAGTTCTATAAGTTCGCTATAAATCAGAATTGACTTATGGCATGGGTTTGATTTTGGGGTACTATGCTTGGCTAGAGTAAACTGGACCTCAGGAAAATGAGAACGAAAGCTTAGTACAGTTAAGTGGGTACACAAGACATCACACTTTAATCCTCACAGTAACGCAATCTAATACGAATAGATTACAGAGATTAAAGAAGGCCTCACTGAAGAAAGGGACTGTAATTAAACCTCAGGTCATTCTGAACTTGACATTCAAGACTTTTCTACTCTGACAATACAATTACTAAAATCATCAGAAATAATTATGGCAGAGGCTATTAACAGTAGTTATGTGAGAGCAAACTACCAGCCGCTCTGCGGGAGAAAGATAAGGCGTTTTGCTCCCGTAAAGATTTACAGCCTCGGAAACCCTGTACAGGGTCGCTATGGGTTGGAACCGACTCGACGGCACTTAACAACAACAACATGTGAGAGCAAACATTTAAAGACTTAAATAATTTCTGATGAAAAGGTTAGTGTCCCACAGCACAATAACACTAAATGATTTAAACAGTAATCTTTCAACTCAGAGACATCCTTCTGCTATAACTGTCATAGATACGAATCCCCAACTCCTTCACATCCACTAAAAGAACAGGGTTGGGAGATTTACGGTAAGATGGCAGACTAGGCAGACACACTACATTAGGTGACTCACAGAGACCCTACGCTCAACAGAAGGAAATACCGTCTGCTCCTGTGCCATCCTGAGCCCACCGGTACTGCCATGTTGTTGATCTATCTTGTTGGGGACTGACCCTCCACTTTACCAAGCATGATGTCCTTCTCCAGGAACAAAAAAGATACAAGAGATGAAATAAAACAAACAGAATATAATCCTAGAACCCTGAGCTTCAGAGAAAAGCGTAAAGAAGTAGACAGAATGCTGACAGGAGCAGAAACTGAACAGGGGAAACAACAGAGGAGACACACAGGGAAGCTGGTGGCTGGCTGATCTGGCTTGGTGTAGCCATCTTGAACTTTTGTGAGCTGCATTTGATTGAGACAGTCTGACAGCCAGGTGCACAATGGGGGCTGGTGATGAGAAAGGTGCGGTGTTCTTTTATTCCCAATGCTCTGGGTGACTAGAGAGAGGTCTGGCCAGACCCCATGTTAACCCAGCCCCTGCACAGCTCCTACTCTATCAGAGGTTGGAGCCACAACACTGTGAACCAGGCACCAGGTGCATCACCCCCACATCTGAAGGAGTGTTAACTCTACCTCATCAGACAGCAGATCACACAGAGCTGGTCTCCAGTCTGCATGCATGGACAAGCCAGAACTCTCATAACCAGCAACCCTATCCCCACTTACCCTCGGGATCTGAAGAGTTCCTTCTGGAAAGAATGACTCTGACCTCAGCCGCCATCAGTGTCTGCAGAAATTCCTTCGGGATCAGGTGCCCTGACCACAGATAGCACCTAGGCCGACGGGACCACCCCTCTGACTCCCACCTCTTGAGCTCCTTGACTGACACAGGGAGCTAACTCATACTGGGTCCACTGCCCTCTCTGCAACTCCTCCCGTTTTCTCCTCAGGGTCAGGGCCCTGCCCTCGTTGGTTCTGCTATTTTGTTTGTCCTTTTCTTTTCCTTCATCTCTCTCCATTTCCTAGGTTGTTTTTTTTTTAATTTTCCTATGTTCCTTTTTGTTGGGAGTGGCTGAACCGAAGGTCTCAGACTTGGGGGCAGTGTAATGAAAGGATTACAACTAAACAGTTGTGGTCCAGAAAAGGGGGCTGCTCTCAGGTCAGGCTGCCCTGAGGAACTTGCAAATTCTGCCTCAGGGAACAAGGAATTTGTAACATCTTTTCTTGTATGCAGCCATGACTTTCAGTTTAGTCTGCAAAAAGATCTCACTAACCTATCTCTGTTTCCCAGCAACTACATTCTTCTGATAAAGTCCTGTTTACTGCTTGCTTACGCCAAAAGTTTTTTGGAATCTTTTCCCTGCCCCCAGCTCTCTCCTTGGATTTGTGTATATAATAAACCAGCTGAATGTAAGACGGTGTCACAGGATCTCCATCAGAGTGCTGTGTCCCACCTGGTCCCAACTTTGTGAGATTTCATTTTGTGTCTTGTGTCAGCTGTGGCACCTTTTCTATTGATCTCCCTTCCCTTTCCTCATCTTTCTTTATCCTCAATTCCTTTTATCATACTTACATCTTTTTCATTTCTTCTTCCCTCTTCCTAGTTTTGTCTATTAAGGTGTTTTTTTCTTAAAATCTTTATTTTCTCTCTAATCTTTCTTCTTTTTAACTTTAATAGTCGACATAAAAAGCCAATGTAAGTCTCTTTTATATGTATCTGCGCAGGTGACAAAGCCAAGGCCAAGTCTGGTAGGCCATCTCTCCAGTACGCCGAGTCCTCTGTGACATCATGAACATGTACTCGACCAAGGGGGACACTCTGCCCGTGCTTCCCACATCTCGCTCACCTACACAGGCGCTCCAGGATGTGGGCCTGTTGGAGGGCATCTGCAGTGTCCCTTGGAGCAATCACCAAGAGGTTGTCTAAGAGGCTGCACATGGCCGAGAGCAGGGAGGGAGTGACCCAGACGTGCTGTGTCGGCAGAAGTGCTGAGAAGGAGGAGTCACGAGGTGGCTGTGGTGAAGTCATCGCACGCTGGCCTATTATTGAAAGGAAGCATAAAAAGGATTTCCACTTCATATGCCTGGTGGGTATGCTCAGGACTCACAGGGTCTCGGATTCAGAGGGAAGTTCCTAAACATCAAAGAGGCAATTGGGGAACTCCCTAGCTGTTAGCACTCCTGGACCCCGAACCCTGGGGTTTATGCTCCTCCTCCTGTCCCTCATCTCCACCATACACGTGTACGCACCCAAGTGTACGTGCACACAGGTACACATGCCTGTCCTGGGAGAGAGGAAAAGCAAACATGGTGTGCGAGCCAACCATTCAGACAGGAAGAACAATTACAATCCTTGCTCTGAAACCCCAGGGGGCCAGAAGTGTTTCAGAATTTAAACCCCTTCAGGATTTTAGAAGAACAATAAAGTACATATACCATACATTAATTAACGGCCCACTGGGGTTGTGGGAAACACCTCGTAATGAAATAAATGTTCTGGAGAGTGCAGCCTAAAAACTTAGGGGCAAGTTTTACTACTGAATGAGTTTTAAGAAAAGGTTCCCTACCAGAGAAGTCTGGCCTTTAGAACTGAAGACAGTGGAGGATGAACACCCCTCACCAGCTCAGCTGGGGGTTGTAAACACGAAGGCCAATTAGCTGCTAGGCTTTCTTGAAGACCTTCACGTATAATTTATTTTTTAAAGAAAACTTCCATTTTAAATGCATTTAGATGTAGAGAAAACACAGCTATGATCCAGAATTGATGATGATTTCTGGGGATTTCTGGCACAGATAAGTTGACAAGACCACTAAGAATTCCCCAATACCTTCACTACCGTTGTTGTTGAGTGCTTTTGAATCGGTTCCAATTCAGACTGAGCCTGTATATGGTTTCTGAGGAGCAGCTGGTGAGTTTGAACTGCTGGCCTTGTGGTTCACAGCGACACTGAGTTGGAGTGTTTATCCTATGACGCCACAGCATGATCCCACACCTTCACTAAGACCCCCTAAATATTTACCTATGACCACATTTTATCAACTGCTACCCCTTACATCTCTTTTTCTGAACTATCTGTAAGTTGTGAACATAATGTCCCTTTAGCCCTGACTTTTTGAAAAACAAGAACTTTCTCTTTTATAAACACAGTGTTGTTGCTGCTAAGTGCTGCTAAGTTGGTTCTGCCTCATGTTAACCCTGAAGAGTTTCTGAGGCTATGCATCTTTACAGGAGCAGAAAGCCTCACCTTTCTCCTGATAAGTGGTTAGTGGGCTCAAACCCCCAAGCTCATGGTTCACAGTCCAGCACTTACTGTACACAGTTACTGTGCTCCCATAACCATATTGGTGGCAGGGGCTGTGGAATCAGTCCCACCTCATAGTGCCCCTGTATATAGCTTCTGAGGCTAGCTGGTACCTTCAAACTGCTGACCTTGAGGTTAGTAGCTCAACTCATAACCCACTGCGTTACCAGGGTTCCTTCATATTCAAAGTTGTTGCTGTTCGTAAGTACCATATATCAAGCTGGTTCCAACTTATATCAACCATGTATAGAGTTTCCGAGGACCAACTAGTAAGCTTGAACTGCCAACCACACAGTTCAAACCAACCAGCAGTACCAGAGTATCAAAATCAGGACATTAACTTTTATGCAGTAATATTATCTAATCTGCAAGCTTTTTTCTCATAAAACAATTTAATAATCACTCCATTTTGTTTGTAATTAAATGGAACGTGGCCTAAGACAATACTGATTGACCAGAGTCTTCATTTTCCACGTGCATGGCTGTGGTAATTGTATTTTCCCAAAAGAGGGGTTAAAATAAAAAATTAAGCTAGCTAATATCCATCAGTTCCCAGTTTCCCAATTCATACTCCACATGCCCATGCTTGGAGAACTAGGTGAGAACCAAACCAGCTTATTGATCCGGTGGTCCAATTCCCATTTATTAGTTAAGAGCATCTGCTGTATGAAATTGCTAATATATTTATTCTGATCATGAGTTACCCATTATTTAATTAATCTGTTCTTATCTGGATAATTCATTTCAAAGTATCTGCCTGGACCAACAGGCTGTCTTTTTCTTTTTCTTTTTAGAAAGTCGGCCTCAGAGAATACCTGGAACCACAAAGCAGTCACGTGTGGCTTCGGCTGTGAGTGTAGCTGACGGCAGCAGGGTCTGAACCTCAGTGCTCCCCATGGAAGGCGTCACCTGTAAACCCGCAAAGGAAATCCTTCACTCGCTCATGAAACACAACAGCGAAGAGGTAACACAAGCAATGTTCCCGCAAGACTTCCTCCTTAAATGAGACCCATAAATAACAAAATTATGCTAGGATAACTTAAAAAACCCCGTCTTGAGAATTGTAAGAATTTTTTGAATGTCATTTCTACTTCTACTTCTGTGAGCTGCTACAAAGGAACGAAGTTTGAATTGAAAGTCCACTTTGGATTTTAAAGTTCTTGTTTACAGTTCTTTTGAGTATGGGAAGTGCCCTGGAGATGGCACTGACTCATAACATCCTTGTATAGGGTTTCTGAGGAATGGCTGGTGAGTTTGAACTGCCGACCTTGCAGTTCAATCCAACTTTGCAGTCTAGCTCATTAACCCAGAGTGCCACACCAGCACTCCTTTGATATGGGTTGTTGTTGTTGCTGTTAAGTGCCATTGACTCGGTTCCAACTCACAGTGACCCCAGTCTAGGCCTTCTGAGGAGCAGTTGATGAGTTTGAACAGCAGACCTTACAGTTCAAACCAACAACACGGTCCAGTGCTTAGCCTACAGTGCTACACCAGGATGGTCTATTGTCTCTCACTGACCAAGTGCTTAAAAAGCTCAGATATAGTTGCTGTTGTTGTTGTGACATGCCATTGAGTCGGTTCCAACTCATAGTGACCTTGTATAAGGTTTCCAAGGATCGGCTAGTGAGCTTGAACCACCGCCCTTGTGGTTCAAAGCGACCTTGCAGTCTAGCACATTAACCAGCTAGCTATAATTCATTGTGATCTTGAGATATTTTGTATTTTCTGAATGGTAATAAAGCTTTCTTTTTAAGTGTCTCAAATGGCCCACACAAATTAAAAACACACACACATACAGAAACTCACTGCCGTCACATGGACGCCACTCAGTGACCCTAGAGTGCAGAACAGAAACATCACGTGGGCGCCATTCACAGCAACTCCACAGACAGAGTAAAGCATCAGGTGGTCACAACTCACAGTGACCCTAGAGTGCAGAACAGACCTGCTCCTTGCTGTTTCCAAGGCTGTAAATCTTTACACGAGCAGACAGTCTTAACTGTCTCCCAGAGAGCTTTTGGTGGGTTTGACCTGCCGACCTTCAGGTTAGCAGTCCAGTGCTTAACCTACTGCCCCAACAAGGATCCTTTTCAAATCTTAATAGTTCCTATGAAAAAATTACTTCAGTAATTTCCATATCTGTACCCACATCAAAACAACTGTAAAAACAAAACCATAAATAAGCACTATGTTGACAGTTTACTTCCAAGAATAAATTTTGAAAACCGTAAATGAGACAGAAATCCTGTAGAAAGTGGATACAATTTCCCTCACGGGTTTGGAGACAGCAGACTGTGCAGCCTGCCAACACTGGACTGGTGTAGGCAGACGACAGGCAGGGTACCTCCCGTGTGAGAAGAGCTCATCTAGACAGGACGTCTGTTTAGAGAACACGCCCCTTCCACACCTGCTGACCTCCACACACACCACAGAAGGGTCTCCCACACCTGCTGGTCCCCACACACACCGCAGAAGCAGGCAGCCTGACTCTGAAATCGCGACGCCCAGGATCTAACTGACAAGAGTATGAATGTTCACAAAGCTCAAAGTCGGGCACACTCCGTTTCAGAAGTTTACACATTTTTGGGCCGTCTGCCTGCTTTGTAACTTTCTCTTGTGCGTTGGGTGAAGGTTTACAGGGCAGATCAGGTTTTCCAGAAGAATGGCTCTACCTGTAGAATTTAATTAGAAACATTTCAATATACACAAAAATTAGTGCAAAATCTAGTGGGGGTGGGTGGGAAAAGAAATAATGTTAGTTACTCTATCTAGTAACTGTTATCAGAGTAATATTTACAAAATACAAAACCAGTGATGCACACCAAATACAGCTACTGTATCTTTACCTGCCATTGTATTCACTCCAAAGCTACAAACTGAAAATCATAAAAACTTCAATCCTAAGTATTTCTGATCATCACTATTTAAGTTTATGAAGGATTAGTATTAAATTTATGTTAAAAAATATACATGCTTGCATTGTGCTGCAGTCCTATCTACGGTCTGCAATCACAGGCAACTCACACTTGAGAATGGACTGCCAGATGCCATATTTATTGCAATGGTCCCTAGTAAGAGAAACGCACCACTTTATGACGTCAGCTTTTTAAGACGAGTCACGGTGCCTCTGCCTCTGACACTGTGTTGAATGTGTAACTTAGCATTTGGCTTAAAGTGCTGATGATGCAACAAAAAAAAAGATTATGGTGGGGAAAAAAGTGGAACTAATAAAGGGACCAGAGAGAGCTGAAGACCACCAGAGACTGGAAAAGCATTAGGCTACCGCCGCCTGCCTGGTGTGGCGCTGTGGGTTAATGCATCAGACTGCAAAGCCGTTTGAACTGCAAGGTCGGTGATTCAAGCTCACCAGCTGCTCCTTGGAAGCCCTATACAGGGTCATTATGGGTCGGAATCGATTCGACAGCACTTGACAACAACAGCAACCGCCTGCCAAAGACTGGACAATTTGAAAGGATACACTGGGACTAGAGTAACGTGTGAAAGGCTCTACCCCAGAGCAAGCTACAGTAATTACTAAGCAATGCAGAACTTTCATTATTTACTGTGTGGGAAAGGCTACTGATACGTTGGTTAGAGTGTCAAAATCAGCATCATATACTTGCCCAATAGCCTGACTATAGTGCAAGAGAAACCTGCAAGTCTTATCAAAGATCTAAAAGCTGTGAGTACAGGAAGTGAAGGGGACGCAGAGGAAAAACGGGCTGCAAGCAGGGTTGGGTCAATGGTTTCAGAGCCAGGGCCAATTTGCATCACATTAAAGTACCAGGTGGGGTAGTCAGTGCTTTACTTGAAATGCTGGGGGGGACAAACACCTGAGAGGGGAGGCCATTTCCAGACCATGGACTGCCTGCGGATGAGCCTGGCATCCCTGGTGGGAAATACGTTTAGAACAAGTAGTAACAATGAACTGAAAGATCTGGAGGGGCCCCAATAGCCATCGTCTGTAACTCCCAGCCAGCAACTGGGCTGTCCAGTCGGTTCCAACTCATAGACCCTGTGTGGAATTCCCAAGGAGCAACGGATGAGTCTGAACCACCGACCTCGCAGTCCAGCGCTCATCCTGCAGTGACTCTCGGCACATGGAAAGGAACCCTGGTCGCGCAGTGGTCATGTTAGGCTGCTAACCAAAAGGTCACCAGTTTCAATCTACAAGTTTTTCCTGTAAAGAATTACTGCCTCAGAAGCCCCTATACAGGGTCGCTATGAAATTGGAACCAACGCCACAGCACACAACCACCACCACCACCAGACAAATGGGAGATGCTGGAAGCCCACCAAGGGGACTGGAGAGCTTACTGATGACGGAAATAAGGCACTTAGCACCTCTATGGGGGTGGGATGATGCAAGTAACATCCATGGAACCCTAAAGTGGGATTGGCCAGTTTTGTCCTACTGCGAGGCTTAAACTCAGCCATCTAAAGGCAATAAAAGGGGCTCTTTCTGCCATCAATAAAGAAGTCAGGAGTACAATGTGTCCTCTGAACCTGAGAGCCCTGCACGGAAACTCCTGGATCTAGGACACAGAGCTGTGACACCAGAGACGGCGAGCTAGGAGGAGGAGAAGCAGTAACAGCAAAACCAGGAGAACAGAGCGGTGAGCTTCCAGGCCCATGGAGTGACAAAGCTGAGTGCCTTCAGGCAGGGGACCAGGTGTGCCCACCTACGGTGCTAAAGCTGAGCACCTTCGGGCTGAGGCTCAATGGTAGAGTGGGCCATCCACGGGCAGAGCTACAAGAGCTCTGTGACACGTGCCTTAGCACGGCAGAGGCTAAGTGGCGATGGGGCATTGCCATGCCCACAGGCTTTCCTGTGAAGAGGTTGTCCTGATGGAAAACCTCTATCTGAGTCGTTTCTGATCCTGAATTCTAACCTGTTACTCTGGGAGCGTGGAGTCCTGGTGTGGTACTGTGGGTTAATGTGCTGCACTGCAAGGTCGCTTTGAACCGCAATGTTGGTGGTTCAAGCTCACCAGCCACTCTTCGGAAATCCTATATGGGGTCACTATGAGTCAGTACCGACTCGACGGCACTTAACAACAACAACAACAACAACAACAACAACAACTTCAGTAGTTCAGTGGTTACAAGTCAGTCTGCTACCCTAAAAGTCAGCAGTTTGAAACTACCAGCTGTTCCATGGGAGAAAGATGAGGCTTTCTGCTCCTGTAAAGATTTACTGCCTCGGAAACCCTGTACAGGGTCATTATGAATCAGATTCGACTCCATAAAACTCAACCACCATTTCACCCAAGAAACCCCAGAATCATGAGCATTGTGTGTGAGTTGTATGTGACCACTGCGATGAGCTATCAAACCCAGCAGAGAGGAAGTGAGTGCATGGTGACCAACTTCAGCTAGACATCAGTGACCATGATGTTGTAGAACTCACCAATGAAGACCCTAGGAACTAGAGCAGTGGTGGAGGAATATGACCAGGATCTAAAAGCTCCAGAAGAGAAAACATGTGGATGAAAGAATGAGCTGGGGTCTCTCGTCTCTTTGAAGCAGGAGGGAACGTAACAAGACCAATATTCTCATACAAAGAGGGTCACCAGCTAGTGATGGGAATGACAAAGTGAAGAGGAATGGCATCATTCATCATCAAAAAGAATATTTCAGGATCCGCCCCACAGTACAGTGCTCTTGGTGACCGGATACCTATAAGAGACACCAGCTAGTGATGGGAATGACAAAGTGAAGAGGAATGGCATCATTCATCATCAAAAAGAATATTTCAGGATCCACCCCACAGTACAGTGCTCTTGGTGACCGGATACCTATAAGAGACACCAGCTAACATCACTATTCAATTTATGCACCAACCAATGATGAAAAAAATGAAAGATTTTGACAAACTTCAGCAGTCTGAAATTGATCAAACATGCAATCAAGATGCATTGATAATGACTGTTGATTGGAATGGGAAAGTTGGAAACAAACAAGGATCGTTAGTTGGTAAATATGGCTTTGGTGACAAAAACAATGCCAGAGATCATCACATTGTAGACCAATGACTTATTTGTTAGAAATACTTTTTTTTTTTTCAAAAAACATAAACAGTAACTATACACATGGACCTCAGCAGATGAAATACACAAGAATTAAATCGACAACTGTTGAAAGAGACAATAGATCATTAGTCAGAACAAGGCTAGGGACCAACTGCAGAAACGACCACCCACTGCTCATATTCAAGTTGTCACTGAAGCTAAAGAAAATGGAAATATGTCCACAAGAGCCAAACTATGATCTTGTGTATATTACACCTGCATTTAGAGACTACCTTAAGAACAGATGTGGTACACTGTACAGTAATGACAAAGAGTAGAGGATTTGTGGGAAGACATCAAGAACATCTCATATGAAGAAAGCAAAATACTATTTAAGAGACAGGAAGAAAGAAAACACTCAATGGAGGTCAGAAGATATTCTGAAACTTGCTCTTATTAGCTAAAGCAAATGGAGCAAATGATGAAACAAATAATTATAAAAGGGCAACTTGAGAGACAATACAAAATATTATAATGAAATGTGCAAAGACCTGAAGTTAGGAAAACAAATGGGTAGAACACACCTGCCTGTCTCAAGGTGAAAAACTGAAGAAACAAATGCAAGAATACGGAAAGATTCTGTGAGCAAAATACTGACTGACGAAAGTAGGCTACACAGAGGTACTGAACCGAGGACCAGTGGACGATCAATCATTTTTAGCATATGAGCAAGAACTGACAGTTCTGAAGGAACAAGTACAAGTTGCAATAAAGCAGTGGTAAAAAAAAAAAAAGGGGGGGGGGCAGGTATTAACAAAATGCTCATTGAGCTGTTTCAATGAATGGCTGCAATACTGGAAGAGCTGCCATGCTTTGTCAAGAAATTGGAACAGCTACCTGGTCACCAACTGGAAGAGACCCACAAACAAGTACAGAAAGGTGACCCTGTGGAAAGTCACCATACAGTAACATTATCATCACATGCAAGTAACATTTTGGTGAAGATCATTCAAAAAAAGTTGTAGCACTATAGTGAGGAGGTAGTACTAGGGAGAATCCTGCTGACACCAGACACTTCTTGGCTGAGAGCAGAAAATGCCAGAAATATGTTAACTTGTGCTTCACCGACTATGCAAAGACATTTGACTGTGTGGATCACAACAAATTATGGATAACACAATGGAGAATGGAAGTCCAGAATACTTAATTGTGCTCATGTAGAACCTGTAGATCAAGAGGCAGTTGTTCAAACAGAACAAGGGGACACTGAATGGCTTAGAATCAGGAAAGCTGTGTGTCAGGGTTGCATTCTTTCACCTGATTCAATCTGTAGGCTGAGCAAATGTCCAAGAACCTGGACTTTATGAAGAAGAAAGTAGCATTATGATGAGAGGGAGACTCCTTAACAAACTGCGATATACAGATGATAAAACCTAGCATGCTGAAAGTGAAACACTTACTGAAGAAGATCAAAGACTACAACCTTCAGTAAAGATCGCACCTTAACATAAACAAAACAAAAATCCTCGCTACTGAGCCAATACGCACCTATCCTGATAACTGGGGAAGAGCTTGAAATTGTCAGGCAATTAATTTTACTTGGATCCACCATCAATGCCCATGGAAGCAGTCATCAAGAAATCAAATGACGTACTGTACTGGGAAAATGTGCTACAAAAGACCTCTTTAAAGTGTTAAAAGGCATGTGACTTTGAGGAATACAGTGCAAGCCATTTCAATCACCTTATATGAATGTGAAAGCCAGACAATGAACAGAGAAGCCTGGACAGAAACAGATGCATTTGAAGTTTCATGTTGGTGAAGAATATTAAATGTACCACAGACTGCCAGAAGACCAAACAAATCTGTATTGGAATAGGTAGAGCCGGTGTGTTCCTTAGAAGCCAGGATGATGTGACTTCTTCTCACATACTTTGGACATGTTATCAGGGGGGTCAATCTCTGGAGAAGGACATCATGCTTGGTAAAGAAGAGGGTCAGTGAAGATGAGGAAGATCCCCAAGAAGATGGACTGACATAGTGGCTTCAACAATGGACTCAAAGACAGCAATGATTGTGAGGATGGCCCAGGATCAAGCAGTGTATCCTTCTGTCAGATGTAGGTTATAACCAACTTGATAATATGTTAGTAACCTAACAATAACAACAACTTCCGATAAGATTTGTATTTTATGATAAAAGATTGAAGTAATTACTATTTATTGAGTACCTACTATACACAAATGGAGTACTGGTGTGTTTCAGTAGGAAAAGGCACTGGACTGCTAACTTCAAGGTCAGCGGTTCAGTCTCACCAGCTTCTCCTTTAAAGTCCTATATAAGGTCACTACGAGTCAAAACCAACTCCGTAGCCCTTAACAACAACAATAACAATACACAAATAAGTAAAGAACATACAAAGATTTCTAGGCTAATCAAACAAGGTAACCCAAGATTTTCTCTTTCACTACATATTGATGTTGTGCTTTTATGAACTAAATTGTCAGTTATTACAATTCATTTGATACTTGGTATTATTATTTCTTTTAATTAGAGAAAGATACACTTTATCACTAACTTGGAAAGGGAAGTATGACATTTGCTGAAATTGGGATAGTTATGCCCCTACTTGTCCAAATAAAGGTCATTTAAGAATTAAACACAATCTCTTTTACATTAAAAAAATAGTTCTTAAAACCATTTGTAGCAAAAAATATGTCTCCTAAGAAACTGTAGGAGGTAATCTTATGTCAGTATGATTATTTATTCTTCCATGTTTTCCTATATTTTTGCTCAGAGGGGTTCAAACCATTGTCTTCCTAATAGATCCTACAACACAGTAATTATCCCAAAGATTCTAATACCCAAAATAGCATTTTCCAGTTGAGAATAAACCATTTTGTAGGCTTGTAAAACTACTGAAATCTAAAATCAGATCATTATTTAGAAATACTTAATACTTCAAACATTTTAGAACAAAGTAATTTATCAAAGGATGGGGGGGATAGGAAGCATCAGGCAGGTAAGCAAACACTTCATGTATTTCAGAAAATCATGAGCCGCTTCAATCTGCTGCACGAACTTTAACATGTTTTTAACATCATTACCACCACGCCTAACTCACCTGAGTAGGTCAATGTGCTCCAAAAATTTCAGGGTGACCAAGCATTATTTTATCATCAGAGATGTGTTCTCGTCTATGGTTATTAAGACACATCCAGAATCCTTTGTACTTCTGGTCCTATCACAGGGAAAGGGAAAGGAGACTGGCATCTGTCAGCTCAAAGGACAGACTCAGGATAGTAGGTGGCAATCCAGTGAAGTGAGGCCAACGTGAATTCAAATCCTACCTCTGAGACACGCACAGGTGGTGTACACAGTGAATGAAGCGACTGAAGTGAGCACCTAGCAGGGATCAGCACACACCGCTCTGTAAATCCTAACCTGCCCTCTCCAGTATCTGGGTTTACATTTCTCAGATCAGACATGAAATACTCAGGCGTTCCCTGCCAAGTACCGTTGTTTCCGAGGTGGACAGAGAGACTGGATCTTGATCTGCACCGGACAGCGTAGATGGAGTCCTCCAGAACTTGAATGAGTCATCTAAACCTGTGACGGCGGGAAGACGGTTAACACGGGCACTCTACTGGTACAATTCATAGAAGAGACTCATAAACCGATACCCATCAAAAACTAAAGGAAAAGGCTGACCCAATTTTCATGATTCTTAATTTACATATGAAGTTCGTGTCACAGGTTTTATATATATGAGTGAGCATGCATACAAACAGACTTTGCTGAAATTTACTCTAGTAATCCATCCAGCCTGCCAGCTCACACACTCGAGTGAGCAGAAGACTCAGAGAGTGCTTACAAAGGCAACCCTTGAGTCTTATTACCACAGACCTAATTCCCTCCTTGGGTGAGAGGCATGATTTTACATTTCTAACAAGCTCACAAGAGCTTCTACTGCTATGGGATGAAGGGTCAAACTGAGTCACACTGACCCGGGATTTCCAAACAGTAAGACAGGGCATTTTCCTAACAGGGACATTTATTTAGAGTATTTACATACTTCGTCAAATATTGTTTTCCTCTAATTCCTCGAAAAACTGAACAGAAAAGTCAATCATAAAATTTTCTAAAATTTGACGAAGTTTCAACAAGTATCTGGAAAAATGAAATGAAAAGATAGTGGATTTTTCACGAAGGATCTACCCTATCCCCTCAATACTCAGGATTGATAGTGACAGGCAACTTAGACATTGGCTACCTAAAATGGGGAGGGGAAGGGGCAGTTATTAAGGCACAAGAGTGGCTGACTTGCAAGGTTTCAGAGCAAGAGGGGAACGACAGAATCCCCACTGAATAGTTTTCATCTTGTTTAGATGGATCTGGTGAAAAGGAGATGGGGATAGGATTCTTTTGATTCAACAGTAATTATTATCATGACTACTTGCAACTGTCACAACTGTAAAGGTAGAAGTTTTGTAACGAAAAGGGAAGAGTAGTTAATTTTACAATCCAGGAACAGAGGACCCTTAGGACCATCAAGAGGGAAGAGTATGAATAGAACATGGGATCCTAACCACAGAAGCAGTGACACCAGAGACGGAGGCAGACGCGATGGCATGGAGAGAGAGAGAAGCTGAAGACTCTAGACTCATGAAAAGAGAAAGGCTGTGGGCTGGCAGCCAGGTGGCAGGCTTGCAGATTGTACGGTTGTTTAAACAATTATATATTCTTGAGTGTTTGTATATACATCATAAAAATAACCCAAAACAAACAAACAAAAAATCCACAGAGGGTACAGAGGCAAATACTGTTAACCGATGGCAAATGGCAGGGATTGTATTCATTGCAATGAAACAAAATAACAATAGGATGAGTGCAAAACTGATGTTCTGCCATGTAAACTATCACTCAACTCACAATACACAATAAAAACTTTTTAAAATAAACAATCTTTGGTATGGGTTGTACACAAAACAAAATTCCTCACCATTGGAACACTAAAGGATGTCAAGATGAAGGGAGAAAAGATTGAAGTTTTCAAGGCTTCATTTGCTTACCTCAACCATCAACTCTCTTGGAAGCATCAGTCAAGAAATCAAATGTCGCACTGCCATATGCCTATCTGCCCTATCTGCTGCACAAGATCTCCAAAGTGTTCAGGAGCGAAGAGCTCAGTTCGAGGACTACAATGCACCTGACCCAAGCCAATCAAACTGGATGACAAACACTCACCTATCAAAAAGCAGTAGGTCCCTGGGAGCCATCAAGGTAAGTGGTCGGGTCCCCGCAGGGCAAACCCCCTTCCACAACTAAAACTAAAGAGCAATACCCGAGCAGGCATGTGGTCTGACTGGTGACCACACTGGTCACCAATACGGGGAAGTGGGGTAAGAACAGCAATGAAGTTGTGAGCTAACTTCGATCACGTTCTTCAATAGACTCCTGTGAACCCAGATTGAGACCTGGATGGCCAGCAGTACGGCAAGACCTGAGGACTCCTGGGCCCAGAGACAGTGACATGGCCACAGAGGACTAGAGCAGAGAGTGAAGCATCCAGCTGATATGAAGTGAGGGGAGATGCACAAGAACACCCACACTTGCAGATAGTACCCACTTGACCTGGCTTCAATGGCTGATCAGAACTCAACTAGAGGATGAAAGAAGAGGGAAAAAAGGGTAATCTGCTACAATTTGATGAACTTGACCTATACTTATGGATGCAGGAGCTCAAAAGAGGGAATAAATCTTTATAATGAGGATCATTCTCACCCCCTCGGTACTCAGGGTTGACAGAGATGGGCAACTTAGACACTGGCTACCCAAAAGGAGGAGGAAGGGGCTACAAAGGCAAGAAGTGACTGGCTTACCAGCTTTCAAGATGGAGCCTAGTTCCAGGGGGGGTGGGGGAAGGTAGAATCTCCACTGAGTGGTTTCCAATCTGCATGGACGGGGCTAATGAAAGGAGATGGGGATAAGACTCTTGTGGTACAACAGTGAATGAATAATTGCTATCAGGACTGTCTGTGAGGGTCGGAAATGTAAAGGTAGATGTTTTGTAACAAAAGGACGGGAGTGGTTGATTTTGCAGTCCAGGAGTGGAGGTCACTGGGACCATCAAGGGAGAGGAGTGGAGTGCGGGACCCTACCCAGAGACACAGTGACATCACAGATGGAGGCAGAGATGATGATGTGGAGAGATGGAGCAGCTGGGGACTCTGGACTCAGGGA